CTATGACTTAGACCAGGTATCACTCAGATGTTGTCATTTCTATTTTTTGGCTATGTTTGTCAATAGCTTTACAACTGGGGAGAGTTTAATTTGAAAGTCTTGATATGTGACTTGCTATGCTGTTTAATAGCTTGCTTACAAGTGATAAGTTGACATACTTTTGTTTTGCAATATCTGTAAACCATTTCTTTTCATCTGTACAAAGTAGCTCAGACACTGTTCTTTGAACAAAGAACATAAAACTTCAACTTCTACCTCAACATCTCTAAAGGATTTGGTATTATTTGACTTCTACTCTGGAAAGTGGCACCACTGTGTGTACCTTAGCTAAATGAAGTTATGGCAAAAAAATCCTTTTTCTATTTTGATTGTAACATACTCTTGAAATACGATCAAACCAAAAAGGACCTCTGTTCCAGGCATCATTCACTTAAAGCATTTGATGGTACATTCAGGTCAGATTTGAAGAATAATTTTGACAACTAGAAAATGAGAATAAACTTCTGAAATACTTCCAGTTTGAACCTTGATTCACAAGCCAGATGAAGTGAAACTAAAAGTAAAGCAGGTGGCTCTGTTGCCACTTTGGTCTTAATAACATAATAATGCGGTCACTCACCTTGAAGGTGGTGAAGCAAAGTTAAAATAACTTCTCTTGTTTGATTCAGAGCAGGCAGGAAAATACCTCACACTATGACACTACACACTGGCAACCCAATGCCATCTGCAATGAATACTGACATGGCCTGAGCAAACAGCTTTCTCAGGGTACCATTGACAACATATTGCTACTGTGAATCTCCTTAATATTTTAATATTTTGTTTTTACTGAAAATGTTCTTGTGTGGAACAATTAATTCAAAGCTGAATCAAACATTTTGTTTGACCTAAGATAATTTCCCCCCATATGACAGAAATGCAGTTAGCTTCAGGCTGGAACTGAATAGGAAGGATTCATGAAAATATTTCCCTTGTCACCATTTTATACCCTTTATACCACCTTTATACCCTTTTCCACTGCAGATCTTTCAGTTACATTGCTAGCTAGCAATAAAATGGCTCTGGCTATAATCTATGACTCCATCTGACCATATATCAGCCTTTTAAGAATGATCATATTCAATAGCTTGTAATATCAACAGCAGGTCTCAGCATTATGATTCTTTTTTGTTTGTTTGGAGGTTTTTTTTTTTTTTTTTTGAGAATTTACCTAAAGTGGTGGGCTGATAACACACAGTACAGTCTGCCTGATCAGATCAGCATTTCTGGTGGTACTGTTGTAACATTAGCTGTGTCATCTCTGAACGTCAGAGTTACTAGAATTGACTTCAGAATACACCATTGTTCAAAAGATTACCTCTATAATTAAACCATCTAAAATTTTTAAAAGGCTCTTATCCTTAGATTATTTTAATATCCAATATAATAATATATGAGCTTATTTTGATCTTGAGTATGAGCCTTATTTTGGTAAATAAAACTAAAATAACAGCTGGAAGGAAAACATGGCTTCTCTTACGTTAAATTTTTATCAAATGCAAAAATTTAAAAATGGTACTTCAGCAATATGGCCTTTTTCCTTCCTGAGAAATATGATAAATATTGAAAGAAGAAACATGGGAATAGTGATTTGCAGATAATATGTATGAAAGCAGCTGTTACATACTATGTTCTTTTTAGGAACTTATGGTATTGAAGCTATAAGCAGCCTTGCAAATACATGAGGATTGCAAAAACTTCCATTGTTCAATAATGAATCAAACTAATTACAGCACAATTTTAAAATTATCTAAAAACATACATTGGAAAAGACAATTTTCTAGTCTTAACTTCCAATAACTGAAATAAGAAGTGTTGATGATAATATCAGAGACATCAGTTAGACTTCCTGATGACTGACTCTGCCCGCATAAAATATTCTGTCCGCTAAGCAAAGGATGCAATCGAATATTTAAATTGTAGCCAACTTCCTTGAGCATGGTATAGCAGGTTTTCAGTGAGACTGTTGGCTCACTGTACCATGGTTCATCCAACTGGTCAAAATCTTATTTGCAGGAAGACATTACTTTCACTTAGTCTCCAATGACAGAACTGTGTCTATTCTAATAGCACAGAGTGAACTACAGAGATCTCAGGGCTTCCAAGAATTCTGCCCTGTGGCATTTCCCATTTATTTCAACATATACAAACTATAGAGAGTTGTTAAGGAAAAGGCAGATAATCCCTTGGGATAATCAGGCCTAAATTTAAACTTTATAGAGGAGGTTTAGTATGTTTACAGCAGGAAGGAAAATGGTGCTTCCATGGATGAAGATTAGAGAAAATAATATTTAAGGGCATACCACAAAGAAGAAAACAATGGACTGTAATTGATGCTTTTCATCTGACCTCTTTCTCTCTCACTCTCTCTCAATCATTACTTGATACAAGAAGACATGAATTCATGAGAGCCAGTGCTGATGAGAAATGCACTATAACTTAACTGCATTTCAGAGCTGCTGGTGTCAAGGGGACAAGTAATGTCTACACCTGTCAGAATGTAAATGAAGTTGCTTCATATGATCCACAGTTAAGATCCAGAAAAGAAGATGGCCAAGAAAATGACATGACATATTTAGCAAACTTGACATTTAATAAAGAATTTGTTATCTTGGTCAAATTTTCATCCCCCATTACACTGCTATTATGTTGCAATAAATTATAGGCAATGTGTTATAACTGATAGCTGAAATTTTCTAGACCCTGAGAGTAACAAAAATAATTTTCTGAAGACCCTTTCAACCTCAGGAATACTACAAACCATAACTTCTTTTTATTCTAGTATTTTTCTCTGGTAAAGGACATAATCATTCTTTAAAAAACTAAAAGTCTTTAATCTTTATTACTGTAGTGTTTTTAGTACCTCCATTATGGTGCAAAAACATCATGTGCCAATTTTCAGTGACATTATGAATAATGTTGTGTGCAACTCAAATCCAGGAAATAGCCTGGTTTGCTGGTAACTTATTCAGTAAAAATTGCCACATCATTAATTTGTGATGGAAGTTGCAACACTTCCAGCCAGGCTCTCTTGGGACCTGCAGTTAGGCAAATGCAGCAGTACACAGCAGTAGATCCATTTGTGCCCATGAGTTGGTTTCCAGCTTGTCAGAATTCAGATCAAGCATAATGTTCATCCTGAGACAAGCAGGGTTAACACTGTGAGCAAAGCACTAAGCAGATGCCATGACCCCTGTTATATCATGTAAGTCTGTAAAATCTCTTCACTTTGAGGGAAGAGGCTCATCACAGCATTTGTCTACACAAACCAAAGCAGAGGGTTTTCCTGGATGTCAAAGGTTAGCATGGTTTCTCCTTTTTTCAGTGAAAGAATTTAACATAATTCAATGTTACAGAGATACTTCACTACTGTTTAGCTGAATATTACTGATTAATATTTGGGTAGCTGAGAGAAATAATGAGCCAGGGAATGATTGTGAAGAGCTGCTCCCATATTCACAGGAGAGGTGGAGCACTATTGCGTCTTGCACGTGCGTGTGATCAGGGTGTAGCTTGTTAGTCTTCGCTACACAATAAACGTAGCCCATGAGGAAGACCCCTGTTGCTACTTCCAAGACACCACTTAGTACTCTGTAAGTGTATGGACGATGTACAGATACTTGCCCATATACAAACTCATACAGAATAGCAGACACACACATATATATGCACATAGTCATCCATTAGGAGACATTACATTTCAACTGAACCACTTCAGTTCTTTCCTACAATTTCTAGGTCTGCTCTGTGTGCAAGTTAAAGGACAGTTTCTAAAAAAAACAGTTAAGAGATTTCAGAGTACATGAAATATGCAGACAGCTTTCTCATTCTAGAAATTATTTTTAACTTTTAAAATTATTTAAGTTAAAACCAGAATGGAATTTAGTTAAAGGAATAAAGTTAAAAAAGAGAATGGAACTTAAGCCCATGGTATTGACTGTAGGTGCTCTGAATGTGCTGCTGAAAACTGATTTAATTTGCCTGAGTTATGGTCTTCCCAAAATTCTCTATGTTCACTTTTAAAAGCCATAATACTAAGCCTTGTACTTTTAATACAAAGGAAAGGACACATCATTGCTATTACAGCTAGATACGCAATTTTTCTAAGGTACTGCATGAGTTACTTTTCCTAGAAGCACCACAACTTTAGTAAGAACCTTTTAAAAAGCTTATCAAGATACATTTCATAATAAGCAAGACGAAGTTCAGCAGAGACAGTAACATCACCTGTTATCCATTTTGCAGTTGATTCTGTAACCTGATTTATGCACATTGGATGTGTTTTCATGACAGATACAGGATATTGGACTCTCTTTAATTTGAAGTTTGCCATACTAGTTACCTTGCTCATTGAAGAAAAGAGGATAGAGAAAATTAGGAGACATGTTTGTACCTAACCCTGAGATAAAAGGTAACTTAATTATCTGTCTCACAGAATCACAGAATGGTTGAGGTTGGAAGGGGCCTCTGGAGATCATCTGGTCCAATCCCTGTGCTCAAGCAGGGTCACCTAGAGCATGTTGCACAGAATTGCAGGTGGGTTTTTTTATTATGTCCAGAGAAAAAGAGACTCCACAACCTCTCTGGTAACCCGTTCCAGTGCTCTGTCACCCTCACAGTAAGGTATTTTTTCCTCATATTCAGATGGAACTTCCTGTATTTCAGTTTGTGCCCATTGCCTCTTGTCCTGTCACTGGGCATCACTGAAAATAGTCTGGCTCCATCCTCTTGACACCCTCCCATTAGATATTTTATGTATTTGGATACATTGATAAGATCCCCTCTTAGTCTTCTCTTTTCCAGGCTAAACAGGCTCAGCTCTCTCAGCCTTTCCTGATAAGAGAGATGCTCCAGTCCCCTAATCATCTTCATAGCCCTCTGCTGGACTCTCTCCAGCAATGCCACTATCTCTTGTACTGAGGAGCCCAGAACTGGACACAGTACTCCAGATGTGGCCTCACCAGAGCTGAGTAAAGTGGAAGGATCGCCTCCCTTGAGCTGCTGGCAACACTCGTCCTAATGCAGCCCAAGATACCACTGGCCTTCTTGGCCACAAGTGCACACTGCTGGCTCTTGGTTAACTTGTTTTCCACCAGGACTCTCAGGTCTTTTGCAGCGCTGCTTTCCAGAAGGTCAACCCACAACCTGTACTGGTACATGGAGTTATACCTCCCTAGATGCAGGACCCTGCACTTGCCTTTGTTGAACTTCATGAGGTTCCTCTCCCCCCAACTCCCCAGTCTGGCCAGGTCTCTCTGAATGGCAGCACAGCCTTCTGGTGTAACAGCCACTTCTCCCAATTTTGTATCATCAGCAAACTTTGCTGAGGGTGCAGTCTGTCTCTTCATTACAGATCATTGATAAATAAGTTGAACAATACTGGACCCAATATTGACCCTTGGGAGACACCGCTAGCTATAGGTCTCCAACTAGACTCTGCACCACTGATCACAACCCTCTGAACTCTTCCATTCAGCCAGTTCTCAATCCATCTCAGCATACACTCATCGAACCCAAACTTCATGAGATTACCTACGAGGATGTTATGGGAGACAGTGTCAAAAGCCTTGACGAAGTAAAGGTAGACAACATCCACTGCTCTTCCCTCATCTACCCAGCCAGTAATTCCATCATAGCATCCTGTCAGCTTAGTTAAGCATGATTTCCCTTTGGTGAATCCATGCTGACTACTCCTGATCACCTTTTCTTCCACATGCTTAGAGATGACATCCAGAATGAGTTGATTCATCATCTTTCCAGGGATGGAGGCGAGGCTGACAGGCCTGTAGTTTCCTGGGTCCTCCTTCTTGCCCTTTTTGAAGACTGGAGTGACACTGGCTTTCTTCCAGTCCTTGGGCACCTCTCTTGTTCTCCATGACCTTTCAAAGATGATGGAGAGTGGCCTACCAATAACATCTGCCAGCTCCCTCAGCACTCATGGGCGCATCCCATTAGGGCACATGGATTTGTAGGTGTCAGTTTGCCTAAATGATCTCTAACCCAGTCCTCCTCAATCACTGGAAAGCCCGCCTTTCTCCAGACTTTCTCTCTTAACACCAATCCGTAGCCCAGCTAGCAGCTTATTTATTCTTTATTTTAAATGTTTATAGTGCAATTGTGCTCAGTAGTTATCTTATTAAAGTTGATAGTCTAATTTTTTTCTCTCTTTCTGGAAAGGAATGATTTTAACAGAACACCTTTCAGATATACTTTCTGCTTGGTCTGTATTCCTGTCTAATTTGTATGGGCACACAGCATCACATGAAAAATGCATGCACGTATCAGGTATAAAAACTAACACTACCTGTGCCTCAGCTTCAGCTGATGAGAAGTTTTGTACAGTGAAAGTAATAGCTGAATCTTGCATACCTCTTTGTCTTTGCTGGCAAAATCTGACTTCAGATGAGTCAGAGGCCAAAACTCTGTCAGGTTTAACAAATGTCCACAGAGGATGAGCAGACAGAATTATTTATTTCTATTAAGAATACCAGAGAGTATATTTTACAGGAAGTAATTTAATTTTCTGTTGAAGTGCTAGGGTTCAGCATTTCAATACACAAAATTCAATGATGCATTAATTTCATCCACCTCATTAGCATCCATCCATATTTAGTGAAAGATACCAGAATTGTTACAGTGGGTTCCAGTCATCAAAGTGATAGGCCCCAAGAGCTTTAACTCTATAATTACCAAATAATATACATATAGTGTAT